AGGAAAAATCAAGTAAGTTTAATAAAAAAAAGAGCGATTAATAAATATATACCAAGTTCAATAAACAATGAAGAGCTAAAATGTTTAGAGCTAATTTTTTAAAAACTACTTGTGCAATTTTTACATCTACTTGGCATATTTTGAGTCGTAGAATTGAAATAGGAAAAAAACTGGCATGTTATTTCACAAAAAGTCCGATTTTGTGTCAAAATACTTATATTAGAACAATGCTATATATAAATCTAATACAGATCCTAAGTCACGCTTTTGAGACATGAAAAATGCAAGTTGAATTTCGTCAATCGGCCCAGTAGAACGAGAGAATGTTTATTCAGTTTATAAATGATAGGTTATCCTTTTTAGAAATTTTACACGAAAAAGAAAGAAAAAAAAACTCAACCTAGTGTTAAAAGATTTTGTGTTAACAAAAGTATCAAATGTATTATATGTAAATCAGATCATTTTCTTTTCAAATGCTCCAAATTTAAAACATTAACTGTCAAAGAAAGAAATCAATTTGTTAGGAAAAATAATCTTTGTTTAAACTGTTTGTCTAGTCAGCACAAAAAATCTGAATGTATGTCTCCAACATCGTTGTCATTATTGCCAGTTATTGCATCATAGTACTCTGTGTGAAAATCAGTTTAAAAAGTTATTCCACATCTGCGTCTCTTTCTGAGAGCAGTTTTCAGTCAGAACAGCAAAGAAAGAATCCAACCGCGAATGAAATACCAGACATTGCGTCTACGAATGAAAACAAAAACGGAACTGTAATTCAAAATAATAGCGTTCAAACAACTTTTGGCTTATTGCCAACTGCGTATGTAAATGTAATTGATTCGATGGGTCAAAAACGTAATATTAGAATGCTTTGTGATAGTGGTTCCGAATCAACATTATTATCTGAATCTTGTATTAATTTATTGGGATTTAAAAGAAAAATGCGCGTTTTCCTGTCAAGGGTTTAGCTGAGTCAGAAGTCGCAGTTACAAAAGGTTGCGTTGAAATTGAGTTGATGTCAATCCATGATACATCAGTGAGAATGCCAATTAAGGCATTTGTATTAGATAAACTAACTGCTGCGCTTCCAAGCCAAAAAATAAATGAGAAAGACTTTTCGCATTTGAAAAATGTAAAGTTAGCTGATCCATATTTTCACATTCCGGATAAGATAGATATTATTCTAGGATCTGACTACTTGTTTTCTATTTTACTTCCTGGACAAATAACTTGTTCTCAAAGTGATTTAATTGCTCAAAACTCAATTTTTGGTTTCCTCATATCCGGAAAACTACCGGAATCTCAAACGAAATCAAATTCACTTTCAAACTTGCATATTTATGAAATAAATATTGACAGCGAATTGAAAAGGTTTTGGGAGTTAGTTAGAAGAAGTACCAAATTCAACTGACACTGTATTCTCACCTGAAGAACAATTTGTTGAAACACATTTTCAGGGAAAATTACTCAATTAATTCAGATGGTCGTTTTGTTGGTGAAGTTGCCATTTTTAAAATCTAAATCTGAATTAGGTAATTCAAAACCAGCTGCACTTTCTCGATTATATGCTATGGAACGTAAATTTAAGGAAAACTCGGAATTTGAAAACCAATACAAGGATTTTATGCATGAATATGAAAATTTAGGTCATATGGAATTGGTCACACAAAACTGTTTAAATAGATTTCAGAATGAGCAATATTTCCTTCCCCATCATGCAGTGATCAAGCCGTCTAGTACAACTACCAAATTAAGAGTCGTTTTCGACGCTTCATGTAAAACTTCCAACGGTAAATCATTGAATTCAATCTTGGGTGTTGGTCCTAAATTGCAACGAGACATTTTCGAAATTTTACTTAATTTTCGATTTCCGGAAATAGTCTTTTCAGCAGACATAGAGAAAATGTACCGTCAAGTTTTAGTGTCCGATGAGGATCGGAACTACCAACAAATTCTTTGGAGGTTTAATCCTAACGAAGAAAAGAAATACGCACATACAAGTTAAACACCGTAACATATGGTTTAGCTCCAGCTTCTTTCCTAGCCACTAGGTGCATTAAGCAAATTGCACTAGATTATTCACAAAATATTGCTGTTTCTCATACTTTACTACACGATGTATACATGGATGATTTGCTATCGGGTTCAAGTACCGATAGTGATGCAATATCACTTTGTAAGGAAATTACCAATATTTTACAAACGCACGGTTTCCACCTACGAAAGTGGAATTCTAATTCAAATGCATTTCTTGCAGAATTTCAAGAACATTGTTCAACGGACACTAATTTAGAAATAATTCCTAATGATAAGGAAAGCACGAAAGTCTTAGGATTATTTTGGAACTCTTCAACAGACACATTCATTTTCAAACCCGCACTTGCACTCACCTCACCGCTGACAAAAAGACACATTTTGTCCCAATCGGCACGCATTTTCGATCCATTGGGATTAATTTCACCATGTACTGTTGTATTGAAAATTTTTTATCAAAAGCTCTGGCTTACAAAAAAGGGGACTGGGATTCTCCTATTCCACAAAGTCTTGCTGAAGATTTGTTTAAATTTCAGAAATCTTTCAATGCAGTTGAACATTTTACCGTTCCTAGAGGTGTCACGCTTATTTCCTCTGACACATTTGAATTGCACGGCTTTTGCAACGCTTCAACACTTGCTTACGCTGCTGCAATATATTGCAAACAAATACACGGAAATGAAATAAATGTTTCTCTCTTAGTTTCTAAAACTAAAGTTTCACCTATCAAACAACTATCTGTTCCTAAATTGGAACTTATGCAGTGCTCATTTGCTTTCAAAGTTATATCGTGCAGTCATGAACACTCTCAAAAAATATAAGTTTGATGTTTACGCTTGGACTGACTCCAAAGTCATACTTTCCTGGCTTTCCGTGCATCTCCGTAAATAGAAGACTTTTGTAGCAAACCGGACGTCTCAAATAATCGAAGTACTTCCAACAAAATACTGGAGGCATGTCCCTTCCAAAGAGAACCCAGCAGATATCGCTTCGCGTGGTATTGATCCCAAATGTCTTCCTAATTGCAACTTGTGGTGGAATGGCCCAAGTTGGCTTTTTTTGGATTCGTCTCACTGGCCGAAAGAGGAATCCGCTTCCAAAGAAATCAAGGATCTAATTAAAGCTGAACAAAGATCTGATCCTATATTTTCATTTCATAGTGCTACAGTCAAATGAATTATATAGTGATTTATTTGAAAAATTCATCATTTTCTAAGATTATACGCATTTTAGCATCAATAAGTGCAAAACCAATAACAAATGTCAAACACTTATAACTGATTCCTTTTCTCCACTCACTTACACGGAAACTAAAAATGCAGAAATAATAATCATAATTCGGTGGGTTCAGAAAGATTATTTTAATGAAGACCTAAAATGCATTAAAAATCAAAGATCGTTGCCTAAGAAAAGTCAGCTACACTCCCTCCATCCGTTTATAGATGAAAACAGTCTTTTACGGGTGGGAGGGCGTTTACAAAATTCAGAATTGTCTTTTAATCAAAAGCACCCAGTGATTCTACCTGCTAAACACAAGATAAGTGAGCTCATCGTAAAAGAAAAGCATGTGACTTATTTACATGCTGGTGCTTCATTACTGTCCCACATTATCAAACAATCATATTGGATCATAGGTGGAAAAAAGCTCATTAATAAATGTGTTCACAAATGCATCAAATGCTTCAAATTTAAAGCATCCACCGCATCTCAGCTTATGGGTAATCTACCTAAGCATCGTGTAACACTCGAGAGGCCTTTCTTCAACTGCGGAGTGGACTATGCCGGTCCTATTTCAATCAAATTCAACAAGGGTCGTGGAGCAAAATCAACCAAGGGTTACATTGCTCTATTTATTTGTCTCGCTACTAAGGCACTACACATTGAGGCAGTCAGCGATTTAACCGCTGATGCATTTTTAGCTGCTTTGCGTCGCTTCAGTGCTAGACGAGGAGCTCCAAGTCACATTTACAGCGACAATGCAACAAACTTCGTTGGGGCTAATCGAAAGCTCAGCGAAATACGATTGTGGGCTTCACTTCCTAAGAACGAAGCCGTTGCTCATCATTTAACTCAAGCATCAATAGAATGGCACTTTATACCTCCAGCATCTCCTCATTTCAGAGGAATTTGAGAGGCCACAATTAAATCAACCAAATATCACTGTAAAAGAGTAATCAGTGAAACTCTGCTTACTTTTCAAGGACTGACAACTCTATTGGCTATAGAATAACTCTATAAGCCATTTTAAATCCGTTATGTAGTGTAAACAATACTGACATTGATTGCATTAATATTTTCACTCCTTCACATTTTCTTACAGGAGATGTGATCTTATCCCCTCCTGAAGTACCTCTTACTAGTCCTGCAAATATACGGAATAGGTGGGATCTCCTTCAAAAGATGCAGAAGGACTTCTGCAAATCATGGACCAAAGCATATCTATCTTCTCTTCAAACCAGAAAGAAATGGAAGGGCACTAGGCCGAATATGAAAATTGGAGACATCGTCCTGTTACTAAATGAGGGTCATCTCCCAGGTTCTCGGCCACTAGGGCAAGTGATCGACCTTCATCATGGTGCAGACGGACTTGTTTGTGTGGCCACAGTTAAAACTAAAAGCTCTATTTTTAAAAGAAACATTCATAAATTAGCACCTTTGCCCATATATCAGGACTAATGCCTGATAGGGTGGGAGTATGTTCCGGTGCACCGGAACAGAACAACTCAACCTGACTCTTTCGCATTTGGAACTATGCCAAAGAACATTTAATTCAGTTGAACAGTCAGACGAACACATTCACAAGGCAGCTGGAATGCTGTCTATTTTTCATTATTTTTGTTCTGTTCTCGTATTTATAAGTTTATATGTCATTTTCTTGTTTATACTTGTATTGTGCAATTATTTAATATAAGTTTTGTGTTTAAAATGAGGCAGTGTATTGAGTTCATTCACATTACATCGCAACATTAATGTATAAATAAAATCTTTAATATGTTCATAGTTACACATCCACAATGACAAATAATTCGCATTTATCCTCATTTTCATGAACTTGCATGTTTGAGTAAGTTATAGCTTTAACTTCACTTCCCTAAAAAATATAAATAAATCCAAATATTATAAAAGTTCTGGCAAAAAATCTTTATAACAGATCTACACAGTGTCAATACAATATTTTAGTTCACAGTTTTGAACATGCATAAATTTTATTTCCTCAGTATTAGAGTTTTAATATTATACACTAATGTTACAAACAATATATTTTATATCTTGAGCTGCTAACCTATGTAGAGAACATGTATATAAATTAAGAAGCTATACAATTTACAGAAATAATGCGTGTGACATAGGTATTCTTATGCTTATCTGATTCAGTACAGGTATATTTAAAATATATATAGTATAAAAAATAACTATAAATAAAATAATATGAAAAATACATTAATTAAATTTTTAATATTGTTCTCATAAATATTTGGGACCAAATATAATACAGTCAAAAGTCGTTAATTCGGACACCCATAATCCGGAATGATCTATAATCCGGACCTCAAAGCTAAAAACTTTCTGTGCATGCGCCGCGTTGGCACATGCACACAGGCGTTTTACGCGTGCGCGTAAGGCCTTGACTACTGCGCATATGCGTGTGCGCAAGTGCAGAATACGTTTTAGCCTGCGCGTTTAATGTATAACGGACGGTGTAAGCTAAAATTATCTAATTATCTATTTCACTTAATGTTTATGATTGCGTTGTTCCTTAATCTTCGAATTGGATCCCGCTTATTATTTTTTGCAGACTGTAAGAGCAATTTTATAAAAGTAAACTTGAACTTTCGATTATGTCAAATAGAATTTCCGATGCTGGAACTTTCAAAGGATCTACAAAACGAAAGTATGTTTCGATGTCCAACAAACAAAAAGTGGAATTGCTGCAAAAAATGGATAAAGACATGAAGAATGTGACAGAGAGGTTAGTGAAAACGAAAAAATTTCGATTGACAAGTTAGTCGGTATTCTCGTCACAGCAATTAACGGGACTTGAACAGCGGAACTTTGTAACTGAACAAGAAATTATGTCTGTTTATAGAATTAAAGAGAAAGTATTATCACATAAAATGAAGCAACTTAAACAACTTACATTGAAAGAAATGTTTAATAAAGTAAACAAATAAATATTAAGCTTTTTTTTTTGTGTGTAAATTTTGATACCCTTTAGATCATAATTGTTCTTTATTTCATAAATTACGGTTTCATATTTTAATTTTAGAATTCTGCATGCCATCTTACGAGATTTAAACTGATGATCTATAATCCGGAAAAATCGATAATCCGGAATCGCCGAAGTCCCGACGAGTCCGGATTAACGACTTTTGACTGTAATATTTAATTAATTTAGCTATTTTTAGGAAGACAAAGGGAATATTTATCTTAGGACAAAATTTAATAAAACTCATTTAATTATTAAAAATGAATCCATAAATTAAATTTGAAACTGTTTTTATAAATCACAAACCTGGGGATGCTTATCCAAATCAAAAATTTCACCATAACTAAAAGAAAAGAAAAAGGACCATAAATTCCCTTTATAATTAATATTCAAGAAGAGAATTTTAATTTAAGCTATACTAACCCTCTAGCTTTAATCTTCAAATTCTGTTTATCAAAATGCAAAATTTTCACTTTCTGCAAAATCAAGAATGTAAACATAAAATTCATCAATATTAATGTTAAAAGTAAATGTATATATATATATAATATTTGGTTTTAAAAACATTTATTTCAGTAATGTAGAAAGTATTATGTATAATTTTCTAGTAAAAATTAATGACAATATCATTTAACTATTTCACCGATATACATATACTGTATGCAAAAGCATAGTAACTCACTATATAAGTTAATTAGATGATTTTAAGCATAAAACATGAACTTCTTTATACACTCTTTTGCAAAAAAGTACCAAGAAGTGCTTTTGTGATTGTGACGAAATTTGGTAAGCAAAAACAACTTGATCGAAAATGCAAATGAACAGGAATTGCGATCACAGCACACATTTCTAGTGCACAATTTACAAAGTATAAAACCAGTAACAGAGGCAGAAAATTTAGCTTTTTTTGTTGCTTCCATTGTAATTCCATAAAGAAGCAACTAAAGATGCCATTATGACGATATCAAAGATCTTAATGACAACTAAATGACTTCGAACGTGGTCGCATCACAGGGTTGCGTGAAGCTGGCTGGTCATACCGAGCAGTAGGCCGCCACCTGTAGTGTACAGACACTGCTGTGCAAAGATGTTGGCAGCAATGGTTGCTACAGAGAAATTGCTGATGAAATGAAGGCTCTGGAAGGCCAAGGGCCAAGGATCACAAATGTGAGGCAAGATAGGATGATTATTCGCCAGGCCCGAACCACCCCAATGGTATCATTGTTGACTATTCAATGCACTACAGCCACATCTATACCTCCCGTGGTACCGTTCACCATCTCATGCCACTTATCTGAGGCAGGGTTACGCTCCAGGGGCCTTTAAGACATTTGCCTTTCACCCCACAACATCGGCGGAATCATGTGAAATGGTATCGCAGCCGATCATCTTGGCTGCCATCAGACTGACATCGTATAGTGCTCAGCAATGAATCCCACTTCACTCTTGAAGCAGATGACCACTGTGTTCGTGTCTGGAGAGAAAGGGGACAGCGGTTCCAGTCAGCTTTTGTTTTACAAAGGTATATAGCTATAACCCCTGATCTGATGGTCTGGGGCACTATTTCTTATGACAGCAGGTCATCTTTAGTTATCCTCCATACATCTTTAACAGCTCAACACTATGTTGATACCATCCTTGGGCCGACTGCATTACCCTTCATAGCATGTCATCCTGGGGCCATTTTCCAACAAGATAATGCCAGGCCACAAATCGCTCGCATATCTCTGGACTGTCTCCGAGCGGCTGATACTCTTCCTTGGCCAGCAAGGTCCAATCGAGCATGTCTGGGGCATAGTAGGAGATTCGGGCACCACAAAATATCGCAGATCTGAAGCGACAACTGATGAATGCCAGGCAGAATGTTTCGCAGGATGACGTTACAAACCTCTAAAACTCCTTGCCTCAATGAATTCAAGCGTGCATTGCCACCAAGGGCAGTTCGATCAACTACTAATTTGAACACTGAGTGAGTGATTATAAGCCGTGAACAGATACTATGACCTTGATTTTTTTAATCATTTTATTATCTGTGTATGAGCTATACACAGATTCAATTTCATCAAAAACAACCACTTCCATCACAGTGCTTCGATTGTTTTTCCAAAAGAGTATATATATATATATATCAGATAATTATTAATTGTGAAGTAGCAATGCTTTTATTGAGTGGGGGGAGATGTTTAGATGCATATTATGTACATGCATATATGAAATTTTAAAGAATGCGCTACTTGAATGGAAGCCGGAATGTTATATGCACATCGATTATAATGAATGATGATGAGAGTAGAAAATAATGATAGTCACAGACACTGTTAGAGATCATCAGTCGTGGACACTTAGCAAACAGCAGTTAGCTGAATATTTAACTGACACGGACAGTTAGCCAACAGGACAGCTAGCTGAGAGGAAATTTAGCCAATACAGATATTTAACCAACAGAACACTTAGCTGACAGACATATTTAGCCAACAGGACATTTAGCTGACTTGGGCATTTAATTCACTGGACACTTAATCAAAAGATTTAGCTCATGTACATATAGTACATATACATCAGCTGATGTATGACATTTAGGCTGATGTACAATACATACAGACAGACAAAAAACAAGCGATAATGTTTCACTAAAATTTGCTCATATTTATCTGGGGGGAAAAGGTATATACGAGGGCCATCCAGGAAGTAGATTACGTTTCCGTCTGTGTCCGCTAGGGGCGGGGCTAGCGCGGCCATCTTGGGGTCAGAGCGTTGCGCAGCTCAGTCTGCATCTAGCCGTGCTAGTGAGAGGTTCGTGCTGTGCTCCGTTCAGATACTGTGACGGTTTGAAATGTCTGCGTTAATTGAAAATCCCGCGAGCTGCGAGGTGCGCTCAGTAATAAGGTTTTTCTGACTGCAAAAAAAAACTGTAAACCGATAGAAATCTATCGGCAGCTTCGTGAAGTGTATGGGGGACAACATTATCACTGAAGGTGGAGTGCGTCAGTGGGTCATAAGATTTCAAAAATGGCCGAACCCAATGTTCACGACGAAGATCGAAGTGGGAGACCCAGCATAGTGACCGCCGAACTTCTCGAAAAGTCGATGCTAAAGTCCGTGAAAATCGAAATTTCACAATAACGGAACTTTCTTTGAGTTTTCCACAAATTTCGCGAAGTTTGTTGCACGAAATCATCAGCGAAAAGCTTGGTTACCACAAGTTTTGTGGCAAGATGGATTCCAAAAATCTTGACAGAGGACCACAAAAAATCAGCGAATGGCTGCAGCGTTGAACTTTTTGGACGCTTACCATAAGGATGGTGACTCTTTACTCGATCGCATCGTTACTGGTGACGAAACATGGGTGAAACATGTGAACTGTGAAACGAAATTGCAATCAATGCAGTGGGGGCACACAAGTTCTCCCCAAAAACCCAAGAAATGCATGAAAACAATGTCGGCAAGGAAGATGATGGTGACTGTTTTTTGGAACAGAAAAGGTGTAATTTTGGTGGACTTCCTGGAAAGAGGCACTACAATAAACTCTCAAAGGTATTGCCAAACTCTCCAAAAACTCAGAAGAGCAATTCAAAACAAGCGCAGAGGAATGTTGAGCTCTAAGATCTTGTTGATTCACGACAACGCCCGGCCCCACACGGCAAATGTCACTCGTAAAGTTCTTGAATCTTTTAAGTGGGAGTTGTTTCCTCATCCGCCGTACAGTCCCGACCTGGCACCGAGCGACTTCCACCTATTCCCAGCAATGAAGAAGTGGCTGGCTATGCAGCGTTTTGATGACGACGCACAGCTGCAAGAAGAGGTAACGAAGTGGTTGAAGGCGCAGGCGGCCGAATTTTTCGACGAAGGAATTTCCAAGCTCGTACATCGCTACGATAAATGCCTTAATTTGTATGGTGACTATGTAGAAAAGTAGTATTTAAGTGTGGCTTTCATCTGTATATAATAAAATTTGTTTCCTATACTTTGTTTATTTTTTTATTCCAAAACGTAATCTACTTTCTGGATAGCCCTCGTATAACAAGAAGCTTTATGAACAAGTATCATATTTTTTACCTAATTTAATGTTACAGAAACTATGGATTTTAAAACTGGATACAAAAGCTACCTTATTTTGGTGTATATTTTGAAATCAATTTGGAAAGCAATCAGACACAGGTCTCTAAATTTCAAAAATGAGCAAGAAAATTTTAGCAGTCAGAAGAGTGAAATTATCTTTTATGCAAAGAATGAGCAGAGCAAAGTGAAAACAAATGTAATATAAATTGGATTTCTTTGAATTCTTTCACTCTTTCTCAGTAACAAAATTTTTCCTTAGTAAATCATGTTAAATTTTCAATGCTTTCAAAATTCTAATATCTTAGCTTTTCCACATTTTATTCTTATTTTCCATAACAGATTCATGTAACATTTATTTTCACTTTGCTCCAATCATTTCTTTAAATTTAAAATCGTTTTGCTCTTTCAACTGCTTAAATTTTCTATCCCACTTCCTAAACATAGAGACTGAGCCCACCAACCGACGAGTAGTAAAGTTACTGAATACTGGTAGTTCTGGCCAATGTTTGAATCCTGGCAGACAGTCTAGCTGCATGGGCACTTTCACGGTTTTTTCCTTGGGTAAAGCATATGTGAGCCAGTTTCCTCTAAAATATCCTCCTCCCTTAGGCAGATACATTGAGTGTTTTGTCATAATCAATTAACCCAAACCAAAATATAAAGACCCATGTCTGATTACTCTTGAAATTGATTTCAAGATCTACACAAAAATTCGATTGCTTTTCTGTTTAACCCATTAACGGTTTCACCCAGATTTTCTCGTTCTTTTATGCAGGTCTCTTAACGGTTCGTTACGGATTATTGTTAGTTTAAATGTACCCTCGAAAACGGACAGTCCCGTGTTTTTGTATTATCGAAAAAACACGCCAAAAAGGACTAGCCCGTATTTTTGTATGTCTTCCAACCCCCCAATGCCTAAGGGGACAAGGGTCCATGCAATCCTGACGACAATGGGTAATGGCTGTCATTAGCGTGGGGAGAAATCTCCTTGATGTTTTGGGATAAAGGCCTTACACTGACTCTAAAGAAACAAATTTATTACCAGTTACAAAGTGGATGCATATATAAAGGGATTTTTAAGAATTTCCGTTTTAGAGCAGTTATTGAATAAAAAATAGAATTTTTTACAAAATGAACGTTTACCTATAAGAGCATTAATGAATTAAAACGAGAAAAATAAAAAGTAATAAATGCAAACATAAAAATCTGAGAATGCAAATCTTTCAGATTTACACATTACGCCCAAAGGGCGTTTTTTTTTTAACGGTTTTTTTTGTGGGTTACCTTTATTTTTAAATATCATGTTCTTCGCACTTAAACCATAAAATTCAGTTAAACATCAATGCCGCAAAATAATTTTAAAATGACAGCATATCCTTTAGAATTTAGAGTATCCAATACACAGTCTCGCCCGTTG